CGGTAGGTACAGCTGGCTCATCAATCTCCTACAGTCAAAGTATACAATATGTATACAATGTAGCTGTAACAAGTTACAAATGTGTACAACAATCACAGCCAGTCAATCCTGCTTTGTGTGGGCAGGGCCAGGGTCTACTCAACTGTTTAAAACAGTCACTTGATTTATTTTGACTTCTGGGTTGGCTTTGTTGAATTTGCCAGCCAGTATGACTACTTTCCAGGTGCATACAAGTCCAATTTTAGAAAGATATCTCCAGGGAAGTTCATCCATATACATGTACACATGATGACAAAATCAAGACCAGTGGTGTGAATTACATGAACGTATGCCAGTCTGATGCCTCGTCAATGTCACGTTACTGACCGAGCACCTTCCAACAGGAAAACCATAATAGACAAGTTGACTTCCTGTGTAAATGCTGTATTTGGGCACAGCATTAGGCCGTGGACTTTCCAGGCTCACCTGCTGACTGCAACAATGGGATCTGAAGCCCAGCACAAAGCAAAGTGATAAACAGATTGACAATGACAGGATACTGATTTTAAGCCTCTGCTTAATTTTGGCTGTAAGACCTGTGTCAAGTTTACTTTTAGCAGCACACGTCAGATTGCATTAATTTAACCCTAACTGTTCTGTCTTTTATTAGTACTGGACCAAGTCCACCAAAATCCATCAATCACACTGCTTCCAATGCATGCTTTGCTAATTAGGCCTCCAGCCAGGCCCAAGTCCATCATACTCCATCAATATTTAGTCAAATCAGGCCTGCAGGACCGACCAAGTTCCCCAAAATCCACTAAAATAGGGGGATGGATTATAAAATTGATGGAGTTGGGGGAGATTAGGGTTAAATGTAAAGCATGCTCACTTCACAGGGGGACCTTGCTAAAAAGCATTCATCATTACAATGGGGATGCATACATGTACCTATGTTCCCCAATGCCTAAAGGTTCCCCAATCCCAATGTTCCCCGAAATCCTTACCCTAACCCTACAGTCTAGGAATGAGTCCAGTAAGTTCAGAAATATTAAATACTGACTTGTTCTAAAATGCAAACGTGTCCCTGAATTTATACCGAACAGGATATTAAACCACCTTTACAACAAAAGGACTGCTACTTGATTTTACTGTTTAATTTTTGAGGCTTCCTACATTACTACAAAATAGAAGCATATTTCTTCCCACATTGGATGCCTTTTTTCATAAAAATCACTGGAGGTTTTCCTTCTACTTCTGGGAAAGGGCACGCAGGAACACACCAAGGCATTGTACCGGTATGAAACGTTTTGGGAATTCCATACTACATGTATCAATCACATTTTTTGCCATGACCAAACCACACATCATTATCATGTGCGCATCTCAGCTGTAATGCAAATTTCAATTACACACAGACAATTTCCATTTTAGTTGTTCAGTACTTGCCGATCAGCCATTATTAACCCAGCAATAACCATGGTTCACCATGATCAGACAACCACAAGGAATGCCAATAACCCCCCCTCCCCACCCACAAACCTTGAATGACACATTGTCACGCCTGTGCCTTAAAATACAACTGACAACTACCATCTGCAACAACAGTTAACTTCTTGATTGCGCTGGTTCCTCAGTCTACACAAAAATGAACTTATCAAAGTTTATGTAGTCAGGAATTCAATCGTTTTTGTAACTTTTCCATTTTCTAAATCTATAGCCAGAGGGCTAAGGCCCTGAATGGCGAACCACTCTACAAAGGTTCAATAATATCGGTCTTCGCCAATTGAGACAATGAAAGCAATGAAAACTAATTTCCTGTTTCTCATACAAAATACCTACACTACAAATTACACAGTCGTTATTGCTTACTAAAATCCAATTTATTCGTCACGTGGGCAGCTCATACATTCCATTCAAAACTGCAGCCTAATAAAATGTTAGTTACAGGGGAATTTTTAATGGTATAACTAAACTTGTCTCAGAAAAAATGTAGTATCCAGACGCCACTACTTTGGTCGTGTGCAAAGTCTATGGAGAATCAAGTGCATTTTCAAACTATTTTCTAACAAAATTGGTAATGTTGCTCAGTCACAGATTCATGTCTTTTCAACATTTTTGCAATGGCTGACCTTAATTGAGATAATATATGATAAAGTGGCGTTAGGATGCAACACTCTTTCCCTTGTCTAGATCATTTTATTAAAGGGAATGTACATCATTGGCTTTTGCTGCAATTTTCAGAAATGAACTATTTGAGGGGTTAGTATAATAGATTAAATATTGTTACACTGACATGTTTGAAGTTTTGTGTTTGAAAATGCTCGAAAAACCAATTAAAACAAAAATGTTCAAGTAGTCTAGTTCCCTAAATCCACTAACGATGAAATGGATCAATTTATAGATGCCGGAAAATTGTAAGGTAAGGGAACCAGTCCAGCTGGCCAGCACCCGTTCATGAACATGTAACCAATAGCAAACACAATTTGGACTGAAACAAATGGTAAATTTGGAGCAGTAGTTGAAAAATAGTTGGGTTTTTCCAACGGTGGTCGGCAACCACCGTTGGAAATGTATACAAAAATACAATTTTCTTGAAAATGACTTCACACCAGGTGCCATAATTTTACAGGATGCTTTAGACTGTCATTTACCAACATCCTAGTAAGGTATTTCGTAAAAACTTGGTAGTTTTATTTTTCGATGTTTGCAAATGTTGTATTTTCCCTTTAAGCATGTCAGTTCTTGCATATGTACATACATGTATGTGAATTCCAAACAATCTAACTGGAGCTAGCTGGACACTCTAATCTGTCTCAACAAGCCTCATGAGTCATTCTTTATCAAGTGTTAACGACAGACTGCTAGTGCTGCTATCAGCACTTGGAACTCCAGGAAATTTTCACAGCGAGCTTATTTATTTTGATCAGTTTTGGTCAGTTTTGCAGCAGGAAATAGTTTTTTAAAATGTTGCATGGAAAATAATGTCTCGATTGCACCTGATTATATTTCATGTCCACAGAGACATATTAGTCAAGGAAATCAGAAAATGTGTGGTACTGGTACCGGTAGTGGACAAAAAAACGACACTGTGCATGGTTACATTACAAAGATGGCAAAACTTGTATATTTGGGATGATGCTTTTGTAGTTTTTTAAATGTGATTTAGGCCTAAATTAGTTTTAAAATTGAAGACAGAAATGCATCTGTTAAAAAAAAAAATAGATGATACTTGACCGGCACCTATGGAGCCGGGCAGCCGGCTTTTTTAGTAAATGATATTAAGCCGCGGCAGATCGTACAGTGCCCTCTTTTATGCTAATATACGGGTAGGCCTACATATAATTATAAGGTATAAGCCACTTCAGAGAACTTTACAAATATGGACTACTGCGAGTGCACACATCAGATACAACGATTTTAGTGGTGTAAGATAAACAAAGCAGATAAATGCACACAAGTCTATGGGGGACGTTGTAACCAAATCCACATTTTGCAATTTTGTTCTAGTATAAAAAAAAGATGGAAATTTTTGATCACATAAAAGTTGGAGCATACAAAACAACATTGGGCATCTATCTCAAAACAAGAACTTTTCTTTGATTTCGTTGGTACCCCGCTATCACTTTGCACGCGTGTGGCAAACTATTTATCCCCCGACCATAATCATTGTCCTGGGATGTGTGCATGCGCAATATCACATTTTTGTAACTCTGAAGTGGCTTATTAAATCATCACCATTTCCAATGTGGCCAATCATAGTGTGCCTGACTTATAAATGACAGATCCCAAGTCAACAACAAAAAACAGTCACTTGGCATGTTTGTGCTGGGAAAAGATGTTGCAACCTGACACCACTTTTTTCTTCATATATCATCTCAATGAAGGTCATTCATAGCAAACATGATGACAAGACATGAATCTGGAACTGAGAAACATTTCCAATTTTGTTAGGAAATACTTAGAAAATTGTCTTGACTCTTCATAGACTGTGTACACAATCGCGGAAGTGGCGTCAGGTTGCAATATTTTTTTCCTTAGTGCTGTTCCGGCTTAATATCGTTTACTAAACGACAGTCGGATCCGGCTAAATATCCACTACCTATCTGAAACACAAGGTCATGATTGAACATTAAATTAAAGATGACAATCGGCACCAGGATTCTACATTCTTTCCTTTAAAAAAATGCCTTTTTATTTAATTTTGTAAATTGAATAAAAACAATACACACACAAAATAGTTACACTATCACTATAGCTACTTCATGAAAAAAAAATATGAAAAAACAATACTGTACATGCTCAATAGGACAGTCAATTTGCACATCAAACGATCAAGCGATGAACCAATACTTAATTCTTTATATGAACTTGCCACTAACAGAACTAAAAATGCCAGTCCCAAATTTTTTGTCGACATACATGTAGGCCCTATTTCAATTTTACAAATGCAATGAGTAGAGAAATTGAAAAGAGGTTAAACACATTGAAAACCAACGTTATTAACATTACATATCTGCATCCAAAAATAATGGAAATGGAAATATGACCTGACACGATGACGTTTGAATGTTTACCTTCAATGCAGACGACATGTTCGCGGAATTGGTCCTGCAAGTTGGGATCTTCTATCTGTTCCAAAAGGTCGTAAATGGCGTAGATGTGGGGGTGGACACTCTCAAATCGCTGAATTTCCTCGCGGATTGCCCGTGAATTCAGCATCTCTAGGCTGTGAACGTTCATCGTTCCCCTTGGGTTACTCTTCCTTCAGTAGTACACAAGTCTTGTGTATTCTTGGGATTGTCCTTTCTTCAGAAAATGACAAAATTACTGGGCATTTCTGTTTCCAGAGTGTGCAGTCACATCCAACTTTGTACACAAACTAGTGCGGTTCATCAATGTGCGGATATCGCATGCACTGAAATGACATTTCGCTGGTACTTGGCCTCGTTTGGGTGTTTTTGAAACCTTGACATCGATCGATAACCAGCTAAACGGTGAAATCATTTACGCATGCGCTACTTGCGGATATCCCATGATGCAAAGATCCGGAAGAGATTTGCACCTGATTTTTTTGCGGAGCAGACGACACGAAAAGGGGCGTACACGTTGTCACTGTAACTAACGTGTAAGTAAATCCTATTTTAAGCCAAAATGTAGGTTTCTCAAAAGCAAGCTCTTTCTTGATGCTTATACTTTGTTATTTTCAGTATGCAAGTGATTATTTTAATCCTACTTTTTTACTTAAAAAAGTTAAATGATTATGAATATTTATTTGATGATAGTGGATATTTTGCCGGAGGTAATGACGGCAAACTAACGATTACTAAAGGTTTGCCGGCGGCAATCCATATCAACAGAGGGCACTGTACTCTTTAAAATAGGGCTGAATTATAAGATGTATTAAATTCCCACCAAAAGTTGCGTAGCACGTTTGGTGTAATGGTTAAGCAAAGGCTCTAGTAAGCGGGATGACTCGCGTTCGATTCCGACCGCACCACATTTTTAAGGTTTTTTTTCTCATCCCCAAATAAATAAGAATATTCTTCTTTTATTATTTTAACATGTCTCAAACATTTTTTGCAGAGTATTACATTTTCTTTTTTCAGATTTGTGGCTCTGGAGGATTTTTTTTAAAAGGGAAATAAAGTCCGAAATTATAAAATGGTCTGAATCCCATCTTGTGAATACGAGGTAACAACGATAATTTTGGTATGGAGCCAGACTAAAACTTTTCACCGGAAAATGTTAAAGTACAAAAAAACAGTAACTGCGCATGTTCAGTGCATATCCGGCAAACTAACGTTTACTAAAGGTTTGCCGTCTCCGGCAAAATATACACTGCCTTATTTGATTTCAAAGTTTAAGTTAACTTAAGTTAAAAAAATAATTTACTGAAAAATCATGGAGAAAATTGTTACGGCAGCCGTAACGCATTTCCCATTTTCTATTGTTACGGTAGACTGCAACATTTATAAAAACATGAGAAGAAACTATAAAATTAGAAGGAAAAAAGTGAATTTGAACGTTATGAAATTCGGACTTTATTTCCCTTTTAAAAAAATCCTCCAAAGCCTCAGGTTAGAAAAAGGAAAAAATTCGAGTGCAAAACTGAGATGCGAACCCGCAACCTCGCGGTGCAAAATCCTACCCTTTTATCGACTGAGCTGTCGCACTGCTCGCTAAAACGTGGGGAAACAAATAATTATATACCTGCGTGCGTATCAAAAAAAAATAGTAGAGGGCGCTAAACAACGGCTGCCGTAACGATAGCCACTTCGCTATTAAAAAGGATCATTTCGAACTCAAATATCTTACACTTTCTCAGCGCGGCGCAACAACAGCACAATTTTATAGCAACTTCAACTGAACTGTTCAAAGCTTGGTTAACTTTAGTCAGTGTTGTTTTTTAATGTTATTATTTTATTAAAGCCATATCATTATCACAGTCATTTGGTGTGTGACCAATTTTACTTAACATTGCACTGTTTATTTATTTGTTGTTGTTTTCACATTCAGGAGATAATTATCAATCATGAATGTTGAACATGAAGTCAAGTTGCTGATAGACGAAATTAAACGGCTTGGATCTCCAGGTAAACGGATCTGCATAATTAATCAATCTGTTGGTTTTGTGCAACGTCAACATGATAACATTTTCAACTGGTGAACCATAGAGAATCCTTTCTCTATGGTTGAACAGAATATAACTCCAGAGGAATCATATGGGTTTCACTTCAGTTTATTCTTTCTTTTTTTTTAATTTCTGGCAATTTTAACTAAATGTTACTTATGCGCTACCATTGTGATAGTCAGAAGTATACAATTTCAGCAGTTTATCCTCCTTTCCATTGATGGAATGCGCAATTTATTGCCGAAACATCATCAAAATAACACTTGAACCCTAAAACCCTTGCATCAGCTCATTCTTGAGTAGCCCTAATGTCTAATCTCGCCAGGACCTGATGGCAAAGTGGCCGTGACATTTGGAGTGCTGTTCAACGACGACAAATGTGCCAATATCTTTGAGGCTCTGGTCGGTACCCTGAGAGCAGCCAAACGTAAGAAGATCATCAGTTATGATGGGGAACTCTTACTACAAGGAGTCCACGATAACGTGCCGATCACACTACTCAAGGAGGAATTTTGAGATGCTGCTCCTTGGAAGACGAAGTTCACTTTGGGTACTAATAAGATTATGTAGTTTCAAGTTCTTGGTAGAATTGAGTTAACTAAAAAGTACAGTAACATACTGATACCACAATTATCAAAGTTAAATGAACTTTGACAGTTCGTATTTATTTCTTTGTGCAAAAGATTCTTTTAATTAAGGGTCTATAACATCACAGGAGCAGTTAGCAACTATTGCAATATTTGATGGTTTGTCTCATGGGGTTGGGTCACACATCTAATTTACATCTCATATGTGTATCTTAAGATAGTTTCAAATGATCATGTGGCGCAGTTTTACTGGGATTATCAACTTATCAACTTATTTTCCAACATATCAGTTAATTGTCTTGTATCATTTTGTAAAAAAAAAAGATTTGTAAAAGGCAAATCCTAGTGTCCAAAATGTATTGGTGTTCGTCTTGTGAAGTTTCAGCAAGGTTAAATCAATGTATCTTACTTATCAAACTTATGAATGTTCAAAGGAAAGATTCCCATATCTGGCCATCACTTGTCACCCTGTGCACAAACCCTAAGTGACTGAAAAGTGTTTTCTCAGAAAATACTTCAATATTTTTTCCCTGCTTAATTGGACTTTTTAGGACATATCACTTTCTGATGGTTGATAGGTCACTGAGGGAAAAATTAGTGATGGCCATATATGGGAATCTTTCCTATTCAAATTTTAACCTGAAAGTTTGAAACCGTGCATTTTTTTTTGTAAGATACTAAACACAGAGATTGAGATATAAGTTAGACAGTACAGTGCAGGTGAATGGTAGATTTCTATGAATGGAATTTCTTCGGTAAAAACCTTGTGGAATATCTACAACATTAAATATCTGGGTTCCATCCAAGTACATGTATGCTCTTCAGCCTACTCATCAGCCAACTCCAGGCACTTCAACACAAACTTTCCAAACGTAATGTAGAAATATACAGCCTCCACAAAATGTGCAAAAAATGACAAATGTTCTAATCAAACTAATGCAATTTTGGATAACGGAAATATCTTACATTACAAAGGTCTCAGATGATAATGTGTGTGTTACTATTTACAAATATACATTCAGGTATCTTTAGCAATCATACTTAGAATTGTTCATATAGTACTACATTTGAAATTTTGTTTGCAAAATTTCACTATTTTAACTATATTTATGACAAATAGGAACTGTCATATGCTACAAGAATATACGGGAACGTAAAAACAAACGCACAAACAAGTGATGCAGATTATTTCAAAATGTGCTTTTTGTGCTAGCATTAATACAACTTGTCAGTGCAATTTTCTGTAAACAAATGCATCATAACATTCCTTGCAACTTCCTGTTTTTAATTACATTATTTGGTGGTTTGTGGCTCGCAAGATTAAAGGAAAATCAAAGAGCATATCTTTATACATATTGCAAAACTGTAGCATATTTTCTAATGGGTTGAATCAAGTTGGTAATGCTTTACATGAATAAATTGTCGACAGAAATTATGGTAGCCTCAAATTCGTATTTTTTCTTCAGTGTACTTGCTTTGATTTTTTCAATTTAAGGACAAACTTCACCCTTCCTTTTAAGTCCCATATCAAAAACTTATGATCTTTCTTAAATGCTATAATAAATTCAATGTTTATGGGATTTAAAAACTGGAAGACTTTAAATGTTTACTAATTATATTTTTTGATTATATTTTCTAAACATCTTTGCAAATTCTAAGCAATGAAATAAAACAATTAAAATTTTAATAACAATATTTTTATAATCACTTTTTAAATGAAAACAATATTTGTGCGATATGACACATCTTCAATATCACTTAGCTGCCGGAATATTCTGTTAACATTATTAACATATCCTCAGTGTATACAGGCAATATTTAATGTTTCATGCAATACAACAGTAACCTTTCATCAAACACAGGCATCCCAGCATGCTCTGGGTTTGTACCGGTGTCGTCATTGGCTAGCAACAGCACACATACAAAAAACTGCTCAATTTATTCATATACCCGTATTAAAGACCTTTTCACCACAATACACCCTTTGCGTGGCAGCCATCTTAGAAGGCATCTTTTGTTATTTTAATTCAGTAACAATGAATGTACCAAAGGTTAACTCATGCATATCCTAGCAAAACAAGTATTGCCTTCTAAGATGGCTGCTACGCATCTGGTTTATATACAGGGTGGTTAAAAAAAAAAGGACACCCACTTTTGACCGATTTCCACCTACTTAATGAACTTATTTTAGATATTTTTTTACACAGTAGTAAAAGTATAGGCCTTTAATCATGCATGGTGAAAAAAGCTGAGTAAAAGTCGCAAAAATACTGATATTATGCTAATTTGAATACAAGTCACCAATATCAGTCTTGTCCAAGAGTTATTTTATGTAAATTGGACATTTTCGTAGTTCATAAAACTTAAAAAACCTTCCTACTAAACAATATTTTGCCCTGGTAACTTTTATTGAAGCTGTCCAATTATTTATGTCAGTGTTAAGATCATCTCCTCAATGAGCTGTTGGCTTAAGTTCATTGTTGCATAACATTACATAACATAATCAAATGTCATGCCCTTTCAAATGAAGCTCCAATAGCTGAGCTCAGTTAAGCGAAGCAATGAATACCTCCATGGACAAACATGTTTCGCACATGAAATGTTCAAATTAGCATAGCTCATCGACAAAATGAGCAAATGCAATGATTTTTTCGTCACATTTGCTTAAAGGCCAGTACTTTAATAGCTACTAATCGACAGTTAAAAACAATTTTTAGAAAAAGGTGAAAATTGCTGTCAAAAGTGGGTGTCCTTTTTTTTAAACCACCCTGTATGTAAAGATCCTTTGCATGGCAGCCATCTTTGGGGTACATGCTGCCGAATGCAAAAGGTCTAACCGATTTCAGTGGTTAAAATTTTCTGCAGTTATTTCATGTGTGGTGTACGCTAGATAGGTTCTGTATTGCCACGTGTCTCAGTGGAAAGGTTGCAACACATTGTACATTCTTTTATTTATTTTATTTATTTTGACAATTTATCCAACAGCGCAAACGCCAGAACAGGATGGATAAGACTTGGTAGAAGATGCGGAAGGATTATTACAGTTTATAGAGGTGGGAGGAAAACCCCAGAATGATATTCTAGGGAAAACCCACGGAACCAGGCAGGGACTGAAAACCCAATCCACATGTTGGCCAGGGCGGGATTCGAACCCGGGTCACAGCGGTGGAAGGCAAGGAAAGTACTGCTACACCAACCTGATCCTCTTTTAACCCCAACTCCCTAATGTCTGTTACTAAGTACTGGACCAAGTCCGCCAAAGTCCATCACTGACCCTGCTTCACATAATGCTTTAGGACCAAATCCGCTGAAATCCACCACAAGACCACCACTACTATAGGTGGATTTTGATGGACTTGGTACTCATGGCCTGCTTACCAAAATCCCCAAAATGGGGGATGGGTTTTGATGGAGTTGAGGAGGTTAGGATTAGTAATTTGACTAAATTATAAACGAGGCTTTGCTTTGCCTGCTACGCATGTTGAACAATGCAACTTTCCAAATTACTACAGAAAAATGTAAACATTTCTTTGGAAGATTATGTACTCTGTGTTGCAACCTTTTTTTTTAACACTGAGACAGTTTACGAGGATCAGGTGACTCGGAGCTCAGCTGCCCACTGGGGCGGGCGGCCGTCGTATGCTAACCCAGCACAGCCCTTGATGGGATTGATGGCAGGTTGGCTGGATGAGCCCACTGATGACGAGGCACCTAAACACAGATAAAAATCATGAAAAGCAACACTAGTAGTTGAAGCACATGTCACTCGGAAGGTTAGGGGTTCACATCCACAGGTTGGCAAATCGTGGCATTTTTATGTGTGAAGTCCTTGCCTATTTAAAGCTATAGTCCATCATTTGCAGCCATCCGAAAAGTAACTGGCATAACTATTGTTGAAAAACATACTTGGTTGAAAGATAGTAAGGGGACTAAACTCCCTGTGAAATTATTCTTTCTGGCAAGCTGTCATTTTGAAGTAATCAACGAAAGAAGGCCTTTCCAACGGTGCGTCTTAAGACGCACCGTATGAAAATTTAAATTAGTAGTTCGTTTTGAAGCGCGCGCAAGCATTGGCACAACGCACACGCGCGCACGGTTGCTATAATTCGTCGGATCAGTGCGCGACGTCGCGTAGCTGCAATCGGCTCAGTGAGAACGTGTCACGGACGCTGAATTCAGGCCCAATTCAAAACATGATTCAGCAACTTTTGATTTGATCCTAGAATGCTGTTTTTCTCGGAATATACAGCTGAAGCTGAGCTAAAACTTCACCAGGTTAGTCGTTCAGTATCCTGATTTTGAACACTTTTGTTGCTTCAAACGAACAAAATACCCAAATTACAAATGATGGACTATATCTTTAAAGGCATATAGGGTCATTTGCTTTTCATGTATTTTGTCCAGTTCCAATAATACCACCACTCAAAATCCAAAGAAGAAGGGTCAAAACCTAATCTGTTGAAGGTTCAGCTCAGTGGATATTTCACCTTTTTAGAACACAGTGAAACACCGTGCCCAACCTTTTGCTCACCAAACACAATTTCGTCAATAGCAGTCTTCATTCCAAAAATCACTCAATTGACTGATTGTTGGAAATCACCTACATTTCTTGATTTCTTCTAAATGACGGCAAGCCAGAGGGAATGATTTCACGGGGTGTTAAGTACCAATACGATCTGTAATCCAAGTAAGCTTTTTGGTGATAATTTGGTAGGTTACTTTTGAGATGAATGCAAGTAATATACTACATGTGTATGCCTTTAAGAATCCTCGATGTCTTTGTGGTTGAAGCTCTTTACACATACTTGAAATGTTCAGGGTTCGAATCTTTAATGCCTAAGTAAGCATCTTCTAAATGTCAAGGGGGAGGGCACATGTCCTTGTAGTTGAAACTCATGGCACATAACTGTTGGGTTGCGGGTTTGAATCCAGCTGTTGGCAAGTCCTCGGGACAAATATCAACTTCCTATATTTATGTCTTTTAAATAATTGTTCAATACAAAAGCCTCACCAGCATCTTCATCTGTGCTGGCACTTGATGCTGATTGGCTGCTTGTTGCTAGGTTACCAAGGTCTACAGTGTCACTGTATGGTGTCTCCAACAGCTTCAAAACACGTCGCACCTGTGCAAAACCAAAAAACAATTTTGATTATACAAATTCAGCTACATTGTTTAAAACAACTTAAAGCACAAAATTGATTTCCAGCACGCAAATATCATGACAAAGCGATATATGATGGACAATTTAACACCATGGTGAAGTACACTTGGCATGTATTGAAAGAAGCTTCTGGTACGAAAATTAGTTGTGCATCAGTAGCGCACCCAAGAGGGGGGGGGGCCGGGCTCGGGGGCTTGAGCCCCCCCCCCCCCAAGAGGTGGTCTTTTTTTCTTTCTATTTTGTATAATTTTTTTTGGTCCCAAGATTTGACTTTAGTGATATGTATGTGGCTTATTTTCGAGTAGAATAATAGGGGTGTCAGTGGCGCCACCAGCTTCAAAATAGTCCGCCCCCCTAAAAAAAAACTTTTTTTTTCTGCGGCCAAAACTATTTGGCAAAATTTCTTGAAAAAAATTTAACTTCTAAAAAATTGGGAAAAAATTGTGAGCCCCCCCCCCCCAAGCCGAATCCTGGGTGCGCCACTGTTGTGCATACTTGACCCCCCCCCCCCACATGCAAAAACCGCATGTGGAGTGTGTCTCACATGAAACTCTGTTTACATATTTAGGGCCGCACATGCACAAACCATCAAACACAAATGGTGTGTCCCACACACATGAACCTCTAGTAACAGCCAGACTGCTCCATCTACTGAATCCATACGATAACCCACCTCAGAGAAATCTCCCTTTTCAGCAGCCTCGATCGCGTTCTGCGCGATGTAGTTCCTCAGGATGAATCTGGGATTACTGGCGTTCATGGTCTCTACTCTCTTCTGATTGAACTCCTTGAGGGCGCTCTCACCATCCAGCCCGTCGGTTTCCTTGGCAAGCCGCCCCCTGTATGAGCTAAGCCACACCTCCCATTTGGCTTTGTCAGTCTGTGTCTTCTCCTCCCGAGTCAGGTTCTGAGGATTATAAAACATTTCAATTTAGTCAAAACATTTCAATTTAGCCAAACACTTTTTTAATTTTTTTTTTTAAGTTGAACAAAGCAACTGGCTGAAGTGGCATTTGAACATGCGGCCTCCGGATTGCCCTTTCTGTGCTCTACCAACTGAGCTATCTAGCCCTATGTTGGCGGTTCCCCGAATTGTCCAAGTCTTCTTTCTTTTTTAACCCTAACCGCCCTGAATCTTCCAAAATCCTTTTTGCAAATTGGAGGAATTTGCAGAATTGAGGTTACATGGCAAAAGTGCGTTGCTGATTTCGGAGTACGCACTGTGTCAAGGTCTTAGGCCGGACCTTGTGTTGTTTATGCTTAGCCGTGCATAAATTTAGTCCTTGATTATACTTGACATCCTCCGCACTGCTCCAGGATGTCACTGCCTCAGCCTCAGCCTATTGACAGTCATAGCCGGAGGATTTTGCAGGATTCAGGCAGTGGTCACCCCTCCATGGACCATATTCAAGAAATAACGGAGGAATTTGCAGGATTGAGGCTACATGCTATTTTTCCATGAGGCCAATTGGAGGATTTTGCAGGACTGAGGCTACATCCTAGCAAAAAGGCCTAGGGAGTTAGGGTTAATAGTTAAACAAACGAATTGAGAGGTGAGGAATTTGTACGAACGATCTAAAATGCACAGTTCCAGTACTTTACCAACTCAGCTCTTCGTCCCCCATTAACTTTCTCCCGATTTGTCAATCTATTTGATCAAGGGGTGCTAGTCAGAAGCCATGATCCTGTATTTGCCATCTGGCTGAAGATTAACTTGGGAAATAGCACTCGGGATCACTCAGAGAGGACACAGCTTTTCCTTACAAATCATAAAATGTTACAGTTCGAAAAAATAAAAACACTTCTGAGTTTTAATGTGGTTATTCTTAGCGTTTAATAATTTACTTTTTTGCTGGAACCGATCAGGCAACCACAGCAGCTGAGTTAAAATGCAGGCACAAGCATTGTGTGACATGACACAAACAAAAAATTGATGGGGCTAGTGGCCGAATTCACAATGGTCCATCAGTGGTTGAATTGGCAGAACAAATCTTAAACTGTAAATTATAACAAGTGTCATTTGACCTCCAATTCCTTGGCTTTCTCCATGCGTTCCAGTTCCTTCATGAGACGCATGTGGCCGCCTCCCAGCTGCTGAAGCAAGTCAGGGTTCATCTGCATCAACATCATCATCATCTGCAGCTCTCTGAGGGGGAGGGGGGAACGAGACAAGAATTTGTTAAAGAGTAACCCTGAACATTGAAAAGAAGACAGAAAGATTAAGGACACTTTGGCAGTGTTGAAGTCAAGCCCATCACAAGTCCTCACAAGTCCATCTAAAGTCCATCACAAGTCCATCACACATTCTCACAAGTCCTCACAAGTCCATCACAATTCCTCCAAAGTCCATCACAAGTCCATCACAATTGACCTATCGCCACTGGCGAGTTAGCCACGCCCCTTAGACAACCCTAAGGAATTTTGTACGTTCAGGGGGAGTCAGGTTGGCGTAGCGGTACTTTCCTCGCCTTCCACCGCTGTGACCCAGGTTCAAATCCCGCCTTGGCCAACATGTGGATTGGGTTTTCAGTCCCTTTCTGATTCAGTGAGTTTTCCCCAGAATATTCTTCTGGGGTTTTCCTCCCACCTCTAAAATTGTAATGTCTTCTCATTGTCTTCTCTCTACAGGTTTCTTCAGGCTTGCGAGCTACAGTGCCTGGGGCGCTTTTGAGGAATCCTTGGTTTCATTACCAGAAATGATTAATAATAGTTTTGTTTGTCTCAGATTTTGCGCATTCTGCGTCCATTTGTATATCATGTAATTGGAAAATACTTAACAAGCTGCATTGAAGCGATTCTACCGCGATAGGTTAATACCATCACAAGTCTTCACAAGTCCATCACATGTCCTCGAAAGTCCATCACAAGTCCATCACTATTATAATCCAGTCTCAAGTGTTTAAAGGGAATATACATCATTTGCTTTTGCTGTAATTTTCAGAAATGGATGGAATTGGGGGATTGGAAATATATAGCAAATATAGTTACACTGACTTTTTTGAGGTTTTGGGTTCGAAAATGCTATAAAAACCAAGAAAAACGATCATTTGGACATCTGATAACATTGCTAGTTTGCACTGGACAAACTCTCACAAACACCTGTTATTCATCTCACCTGCCATCCATCCTGGGCTTCATTGATTTCTTCAACTCGTCAGCGGTGCTGCATTGAGTCAGTAAGTATTCCACCACTGCATCATCATCGTCATCTGCGTCCTTACTACCAGGCAGTCTGAATCGACTCAGACATCGGAAGGAGTTGGTGAAATCGGACTGGGTCTGGTACATTGTGTCAAGGAACGACTGCACAAGTTCCCTGTTAGGAAATCAAAGCATTCTAGAGTTTGTTCTTGTACCTTTATTTACCTTTCAGAAACGTCATTGATTTTTAATGATTCATCACAAGAGAGGTATACTAAATAAGTATTGAAACCCTTCTTGTGAAATGACAGCAGTTAGTGTATTTGGTGTTGAAGCAAATCATGTTATAAATATTGATCACGATGAACTCAAGTAGTTAAACTAATGACAAGGTAAAGATTTTTTAGAGAGTCTACTTTTAATTTGCAAATGTAAGCAGGTGTGAATCTTATTGGCCATTCTTTGGATTTCTTCGAAGACTTCTTTGTCTGATTATTTTGGAAGGGGGGAGGCTAGACTTTATTTGATGACAGGGGGCATTCTTTCCCCCTTTTTTTCTTTCTTACTATTAATATTTCACAAATCCATAGCAGAAAAGGGAATGCAAGGCATCGATTTAAAAATTGGAAAAGGTGCTTGGCACTCTGTTATTAGCATCCCTTACTTGTCTTCCGGCAGCTCTTTCCTCAGCAGTCCCAGCTTGTTCCTCATCCTGCGCATGTAGCTCTTCTCGTACTCTTCATCATACAATCCCAGCTCTGCCTTGGCCAAGTCTACCGGCAGTGCCATGGCGAGTGCCTCAGCCAGTTTCTCAAGATTCCAACGGCAAATGGCCGGCTGCTTTACGTAGGTGTACCGACCACCATCATCTGTCCATCAACAACAAGTATTTGATAATAACAACGGTAACAAAAATCGTACACTTTCACCAGCCTTCAATCAGTTAAAGCCAAGAGTCAGTCGGTCAGCCAAGAGTCAGTCGGTCAGTCAGTCGGTCAAAAAGGTAAGAAGAGGAGGCTAGGTTGGCCCTCTGGGACTGGCAAAATGTTCAGACATCTATTGCAAAGAAATACCTTACCTGAATTGTTACAGATGTGGTCTGGGTTATAGGCGTCCAAGAATCCATACGGGCCATAATCAATCGTCAGGCCAAGGATGCTCATGTTGTCTGTGTTTAACACACTGTCAAAGAAAAGAACGTTTTTATAATGCTTTTTGAAATGTGATGCAATCAAGCTAAATGAGTTGTTTGTTGACCCTGGTCATTTTATTTTTACAGATTTGAAAAGAGTACAATCTCAGCATTACTGCTGTGAAAACCGCATGCTGGTACCATCTGTAGTTCACAAATTATGGAAGTCCGAACACCAAGAGATGGGATGAAGTGATGTGATGAACAGGCCCTAGTTTGGCCTGAATCTCCAAATGAAAGTTTCTGACAAACGACTTTAGCTTGATTGCATCACAAATGATTGGATAATTCTACATGAATGTCACCAAGACGAGGTTTGTCCTGTCGAGCATGACCAGATCAGTTCAAGACATTATTTATACTCTGTAACTCAGTTAGTCAGAGACTCAGTTAGTCAGAGACTCAGTCAGTCAGAGACTCGGGGAGAGACTCAGTCAGTCAGAGACTCAGTCAGTCAGAGACTCAGTCAGTCAGAGACTCAGTCGGGGAGAGACTCAGTCGGTCAGAGACTCAGTCAGTCAGAGACTCAGGGAGTCAGAGACTCAGTCATTCAGAGACTCAGTCAGTCAGAGACTCAGTTAGTCAGAGACTCAGTTAGTCAGAAACTCAGTCGGTCAGAGACTCAGTCAGTCAGAGACTCAGTCAGTCAGAGACTCAGTCAGTCAGAGACTCAGTCAGTCAGAGGACAGTAGGCTGGCCTTTCGGGTCCAGCAAAAACCTTATAATAGCCTGTAGAGCATTTTTGAGCTAGGACTTGTTAGAAAGTACAAGTTGTAGCAGGCACAAATTGAGAATTGTTTGCGTCAATGACTTTGGATGTTCTCTATTTAACAATTGTTGACTGCTGTGATGTGGGATATGACAATTTTAACACCCGAAGGGCGCCTCGAGGGGGTTAAAAATGGCATATCCCGCATCACAACAGTCAACAGTTGTTTTGGTTATATCGTGCCAATGACTCAAAGAGATAAATAGTTGTAACTTACTTTGTGAGAAATATCTTAAATTCACTGCGATGTAACGTTTGATAACTGAAAGTTTTGATGTCCTGCCCGACTCAAACTGAGCATTTGACTTTGCAGTTCTCATTGCGCGAAGCTAGCTCGCCGGCACGTTCCACACGAGCATGCAACGCATGCAATGAACGCAGTGCGATATCACCCTCGGTGTGTGACATGCATTTTTATTGTCCAGACACGTGGCCGTCCTAGACCAATGTAATTACAATATCCAAGTACACGATATAACAATAACCTTTATAAATTTCAGTCTATTCATCTTCAATTATTTTTGAAAAAAAAATGGTGCAAAACAGGAAAGCTTCCAGTGAGAACTGAAAATAGGCCTGGTGTTGAGAGGGTCACAAACTTTTGGAATTTTTTACCCATGACAGAAGCCAACACACTGCCATCCAGCAACAAGCTGCGCAGTTAACTTGATGACTTCACGGTAGAATGCAAGATAGCGCTCTTGGGCATTATCCTTGTGTTGTTCATAAATCTGAACAAAGGAAAAAGAAATATTCACTTTATCCCAAGACACACCAACGCCCTCACTTTATGTACAAAAAGCTCTAGGTCATCTAGTGATTACAACAGAATTTAGCAAAACCAAAGCCTGATACCTGTAGAAACCAACAGGATTCAACAACTAAACTTTTTTATTCTCTGCAACGACTTATCAGATCCCCATAGTTAACGTCTTCTGTTGGACACTGTGAGATTCTCTGGCAAGATATCAGAAGTATGTGAAATAACATTCACATGTCTTCTTACCGACAAACAAATTCCTGTTTTCAATTTGCAAATCCATTATTGTATATTTCATTCAAATAAAACCAAGTGGAATCCAAATTAACGTAATCTGTCTATTGGCTCTGTTCGCAAACATAGAGGGCACTCTTTTACAAGTCTCAAGGGCCCCGTGAACGGGACATACCACGTGGGCGTACTGGTTCGCGCATATAACGCGAAGTACGCATATAGGGCTACGTACACAAATGCATCTTCAAGTGAGCGTCAGGTGTCGCTTGAGAGACAGGCAATGTCTCTCCCTGTGGTCTCCCCCAACTCTCTATTTCTTACCATTGCGTGGATACCTGTGCGCGGAACCCATAGATATTTTTGATTTACCTCGGGGAAAAATGTCTTGATGACATACTCCAGCATCTGTTCCAGTACGTCTTTCCTGCCCACACTCGGCCCGCCGCGCCCAGTCATCCTGTCCAGAGGCTTAAAGATCTCAAAGGAGCCAAATCTAGTGAAGGAAAAAGCAAACTTTCTTGGGTTTTGGTGGTCCTATAATTTGAGGCCCATAATTATGAGCTGTTGAAGTTGTTCAAATCTCTTTACATTATCTGTTATCATTTGGTAGAATGTTTCTGAAAATGAGAGACCACGTCTCTATAACGGAGGATCCAAAAAGAGGGAGGGGCACAATTAAAAATAAAAATCCCCAAAATAAGAGGCAAATGTTCTTCACCACATATGCAATCACTCAAAAATACAGGTAATTAACTGATAGTCATGAAACCAAGTTTCTTTCCAGATGCCTTGAAAAAAACTGATGGTTCTTGCTAGAATTTCAATTCTATTTAATACTAAAAGTTGGGTCTCTCAATTCTGTCTATGAGAGTCCCAAAACTTTAGGTGTTAAAAATAATGCAGAACAAGAAAATAGACTGGCACATGAAACAACCAGTCCAACACCCCTTTAGTACTGCATCAGTCAACTGTGCCAAAAGAAAAATCTGGTACCAGTCTCCATTTCTAAACATCTCTCCATAGTTTGCCAACTGACTACTGATGAGGTCAGTCTTTTCAAAGAGTTGGACATGTACATGAACCAGTCTGGTCTTAGGCTTCATATTGAAATCACTTGGCTTCACTCTCAGGTGCAAAATATTGAAGGAAAGTCTCCTTTAAACATTGAATTGAGACTTCAAACTTGGCTGGTGAAATACTGAGGACCTTGTCTTTGCCTAACAAAACTTTTGGAGAATTTTTTTGGCTAAAGAGTAAAGTTGGCCTGAATTTGTTAAATGCAAGTTTTCCTGCACTTAAGGTCGCAGTCTGAATTAATACCCAAGTGTCAACTGAATTTGACAATTTTTTTTTCAAAAAATGTTACACCTATTGTTCTCGGACTTTCAGTTGTTGTTGAAATTGACAGGATTTGTTCTCCTCACCTGAAGAATGTTGGTGCAATCCTCAGGACCAGTGTTGCCCTCTCTCTGATAGGATTGCCGGAGTAGAAGATGTCACGGACAATCTTGGTGTCAGAGGTCACGCATGAACCAGCTGAAATTTGAAAGTACAGAACAGAATTAAAAAAACGTCAACTCCACATATGACTAAAACAATTTCAGAAAGAACGTATCGGTAGTATCCTGACGCCACCTCAGCGGTTGTGTACAAAGTCTACGGAGAGTCAAGAACATTTTCTAATAATTTCTTAACAAAATTGGAAATGTTTCTCAGTCCCAGATTCATGTCTTATCAACATTTTTGCAAAGACTGACCTTCACTGAGATGATATTACGGTGAAAAAAGTGGCGTCAGGATGCAACATTCTTTCCACCATTTCTTCCTCTTGGATTTGTTGATTTCAATTTCAATTTTGGTTTTACCTGTACCAATGCCCTTTACCTTGAAGTTGGATATCAAGCTCCACATAAGTAACAAAAGCTGGGTTCTACTTTCCTCAATCCTGCAGAACCCTCCAAAACCTAGTGGGTTTTGAGAGTTTGAGGGATTACGGTCAAACTTGATCTAAATATTTAAAAACAGATCTACACCTCGTGTTGTGGGGATTCCCAAGTGATGCATAGCCTCGCTGCACAAAAACTCTCTGATGGTGGAGCGAAGGACCTTCCTGCCGTCACTCTGTCTGGAGTAAGGTGTTGGCCCTGCTCCTTTGAGTTGAATCTCCCAGCGTTCACCGGCCGAGTTTACTACCTCACCAAGGTACCTGCAAAAAAAAATTCAACAAATTAATCATTGGGGAGTATTTTACGAGAAAGACAACATCAAAAGGAATGGCACCCAGCAGCAAGGGCAGATCAAAGAGGCAATAAGCGCCAATACACCAGTCAAGATGGTGCTTCGTATCGTCACCACTCGTGGTAGCTCCTTCATGTCCTTCTTGGGAGGAAACCACATGTGTGAACTCGTTTGCGAAATATATGACTTGAAATGCATAATGGGTTTCATGCTAGAACAAGAGAGGAGGCTTTTTTATCACTTTGGAGAGCTCACTGGCCAGGACACTGCGTGCGCATACTGGTTTACGCACGTATAGGTACGGGTGGACGCGGACGTCCAAGAATTTTTACACTGGCTTGCCTACATGTAGCTCCCAGATCTATGTTCTTGAAACTCTATGGTTCTTGAGTCTGCAATGCTGAATGGTAACACATTTAGCAACCGATGAAAACTTGTGTGCAAATGAATTAGTTTTTTTCATCAGATGATGTCAGCCCCACCCCACCTATAGGGCGAAGTACGCGGACTAAATTTATTCTGAGTTTGCCGAACCCCTAGCTTCTTCTGAGGGAATACTACTGCTCAGAGCCCACACACAAGATTGGTGTTAACCTAAATGTGCACAAACTTAATTGTATTGAGTGCTAGTTGAAGAGGCAATGCATTCCAGTCCTTCCCAAATCTTTCATTTGTAAATGAATGAGGAGATGCTTGTGGAGTCCATGAGCTCCGTGCACAAGTACCCCCTCAACGGTAAGAAAGGGAGAGTTGGAGGAGACCACTGGGGCAGACATTCGAATGCATTGCCGACGATGCCTGACGCTCATGCGAAGACGCTATGGCTTTGTGCACATTCAGAATAAAATCAATTGTGCGTATTTCGCAGACCAGTACACGCATGCATGTGTCCCATCCACTAGAGTCTTGAAAGTGGTAAAAAAGCGCCCTCTCTCGTTCATGCACGGAGCCCACAGGGCGTCATTTGAAGAGATGTGAAAACCTACATGGCAGCCCCATCTCCCAGCTGGCCAGAGAAGTAGCCGAACTGATGTCCGCAGTAGCAATGGGCGGCCGTCTCGGCCCCGGGCAAGAGTTTATTCCCAGCAAAGTACTCAGCAAATTCCGGTTTCTCGGACTCCTTGTCGTCAAGATCCAGCAAGCGGAGAGCAGGGAGCGACACGGCTACCGTCTCCGGCTTCGCCACCGGCTCCGGGGTTGTTTTGGAGAAACAGGCACCCTTGACACTCCTGGTGAAGTTCTGTGTCTCCGGGTCGATTGGGAGAGAGCGCAGGGCTAGATTGTCAAAGTTTAGGCTCCCCAGCGTGGCCATTTTACCCGGACGAAAGCGGTTGTGTGTCAGTCGGTGAAACATCAACAGTGTCACGGTGGATTGTAATGGACGAAGCAACTGATGCCTCATTTGCAAGTTCCAGGAACAGTCGATGATAAATTCCAAGGAATTACCCTAGAAAAAATGCATTATGTCAAACAGCTATTATACGTGTACCATGGACTGGTAAAATGAAAGTTCAGTGTCTTTCCACAAAAGGATGAATTTTAATGCACAAGCGTCGAGTAAATTTGATCTTTGTTGTAATGTTAATGTAGTTACTCCTATCCTAGAACTAGTATGAGGCTCCACAGCTCCACTACGTGGAGCCTCAGTCATAGTTCTAGGACTGGAGTAAATGTTAGTATGAACAAATGAGTGTAAATCTAACCCCCCCCCCCCCCCCCCCCCCCCCCCAGTAAATATGGAGGAATAAGAACACACCAAATATAATCTAAAGCAATATGGAAATTTACAATTACAAAAATATTTTCCTCCCAAGCAGTAGTTTAGCGTTTCACAATTAACACTCATTTGAGAGTCCCAAAATTTAGGACTCCATAACAGCTGATGCCGTGACGTGTGGTGTAACTGCGATTGTAAAGACTGACACATCGTCGTAGTCCATGTTCTAGTCGTTTCTTTCACAACGCAACTAAACACCATTAAGGAGAGCAACTACTTCCCGAGCTCAAATGCTATATCCGACACGAACTACGACTACTTACCAGTGGCGATTTAAGTCTGGTCCCCTGTCATCAATTAATGCTAATTCAATTGCAATGGATGAGGGAGCCCGACCAGTCCACTAGTGAAGTACGCGAAGCATTCGCCGGTATCGCGGTATGGTTTTTTTTCCGTAGTTCGAATTACTTCAAAATAGGCTTTAAAACTTGTTTTCTGTAATGTGTATCGTAAAATATTGATACTCTTTTATAAATCTGAGACATCAATTGTACTTAAATTATATTTACTTCGGGGAAACCTTGGAAAGAAGTTAATCCAATACACCTCTCTGACTTATGTACAAAGTCTATGGGAGTTTAGCCCCACTAGTGTGGCCGCGATTGCTGCGCTGTATCTCAGAGAGTCGGAGCATGCGCAGCAATATCGCGGCCACACAAGTGGGGCTACCGGGAGTTGTGAAACAATATTGATATGAACCGTGGAGAAATGGTAGAACATGTAAAGCTATAAAAGTGTTTTTTTTTTTTTTTTTTATGTGGCTATTGTTACGGCAGTCGACCATCTGGTTCACTCAGACCTAATTACAAGTATTACACCAACGTCAGGATCTTTGGATCTTGGAACCAGAAACAAGTGATTGGTTCTCGGACTTAATCCTCCAAAGCCATCATGTTACAGCTGTCGTAACGATAGCCACTATATATTTTTTAACTGTTAATGTTTACATTGTGTTCCCCAGCTTATCTGAATGACGTCATCAAAACTCAAGTGATCTTGCTGCAACATGCCTCTTCGCTTTCTACTAAGGTATGTTTCAATTCCTTTTCCATTATTTCATAATTGAGTTTAGTAAATTCTTGACATATTTTACAATTAGGCCTATAACCATTTCTATATTCTTAAAAAAAACTTTTGCCTTTTATTTTCAGATATCTCGCAAACAATGAACAGCTTATTGAGAAGGTGAGTCCAAATTGGATGGAAAATTGTTCATCAAATCTCCTATGTTGAAAAGTCGTGCAGGAAAATATCAGTTTTTACTCTACACCTCCAAGAAAGCCTAAATATTTTTGACATACATGTATTCTGAAACTGCATGTGTAACTTGTTTCAATGTAGTAGCCAAGTTTGGTTAAAACAGATATGAATTTTTGCCTTTTTTTTTCCAGCTGGCAGAATCACGGGTCATGAGACGGATAGCCCAGATTACAGCATACAGCATGAACAAAGCCCAGGCAATGAGTAAGTTACAATGTACATTTCATTTTTATTTTAGGGTTCCTTGATCTAGACACTTCTTTCTTCAGGCATACAACAAAAGAGGAAATTCCTAGCTTTACAAGACTGTATACAGTTTGTTCAGGTTTTAATATCATTTGTGAAAATTGAAAAATGAGGAAATCGGCTAAGGCTAAAAAAAATAAGTCTCCGGTTTCTGGTATGGAGCTTGTCCAAAAAGTGGTGCGGCTACGCGGCTTTTTTTTTTTTTACCTGACTTTTTTGCTTCAAATGTCGGCTGATGACTGCAAATGGTGCCCGACTAAACTTAGTGCAAATGTATGGGAGTCCAGAGAGGCCACATAAAGCTTATTCTCGACCATAACCCAATCTAAAAACACGTTAAAATTGTGCAGCAGCAGGATTCCAGTCAAACCAGTGAGTTTGGCGGTTTTTAGACATCATCTTTCATTGAAAAAAAAACTTTTTCATTTTGCCGACGCGCATGGTTACGGCAACGCGCACGCATACCAGAAGCTGGAGACTTTTTTTTTTGGCCTAATCCAAGGAAAAGTGGAATGCCTGCTTGTTTTATTGAAACTCAATCTTTTCATTTATAACCCGATTATTGCAATGTTTTTGAAGTTAGGGAAGAAGTATTAAGGAAGGTAGGAAAGTTTTCTGAAAGATTGTCAAATCACGAGTTCAAAGAGAGGGTATCGTTTCAGAGGTGCTGGACTTTACTTGGAAGGGGGTGGGGGTTCCCCTCTTTTAATCATAGTATCTTCAGAAAGTTGGTTGCAGTTTGAGTGATGGTATAATAAGCTTGACATTTAAATTCAGGTCATGAAGCCATTGAGAAGGCATCCGAGTCGGAGACTCTGAAGAAGATGGCCGAAGAGAGCAGACAGCAGAGTCAGAAGGGAACCAGGATGGCCTCGTCTTTCACTAGGAACTTTGCCAGAGAACTCAGAGACGGAATGAAGGACATTGAGAAAGAGATCAAGAAGAAACAGTTCAAGGATTGAGATGCATTGCCATGGATTTCATGGACTATTTGTGATACCAGGAAAGTGCTTTTGAGCTGTGAACAAGGCAGTGGCGTAACTAAAGGAAGGGGACCATTGCCTCCCCCTCCCCCCAGGCGTGTGCTCCATTGATGAGGCCCTTCCTTGAGAAATTGAGGCCCCTTTTGTAATCCCTGCAAATTATACCCCAGTAATGCCGCTTGAAGAAGAGTCAAATTTAATGGAGCTACAAAGGCAAAAACTTGCAAGAGACAGAAAAATTTACTTAAAATGGCAAACATACTGAATGTGTGGCATATATTGCTACTGGCCTGGTTCCGAGGGTTCCCCCCCCCCCCAAGTTTTCTGCTTTAATGTACATGTAGCTCTATAGTATTTGCCCCAGAACTTCATTTGTAGTTCTACATGAGCCATTTCCACCAAGACAATTGCTTTAAATTTTGTGAGAATTCACAAAGTAACATTAAAACTTCTTATCCGATTTCCCCAATAGAACATCACCTATGTCTTAATATTTTCTTCAAATTCTCCCTAAAGGTATTAAAAATCCCTCGTTAAAACACATGGTCACAAACTTCAAGTTTAGGATTTAAATCGGCATATATGTTTTTTAATGAGGTTACAATTTGTATATTGCTCTATTTTTTTCTGTGGTAAAGGGGTTTGTGGACATGCATTCAGGGCATGTTGAAACTTTGCTTTACCTACGGATAAGAGGTGCATTATGAGATTGTAGGGTTTCATTGACTTGTATATAGAACTATTTAAATTCCCGTAATTTTATGGATTTGTAAAGTTTTGATTGTGATTACCATGTACAGAATAAACAACATGAATGTAGCCCACTTGCGTATTGGTGTCTAGTCTGTGGTTTTGTATTTGTAAAAAAAGGTCACACAAAATTGAGGAAAAGTCCCATTGCAGAAATGCTAATATTGTCAGTTTAAAATTAAGGCGACTTTGATGATAATGTTGGGTGGGTTCCAAGGGCCTAACTTTGCATATGTAGCGCTACATGTGAAAGAGGGACCCCCTTTTGTGTTGGTCATTGTGTTACCAGAATCTCGGGAATTCTTTTGATATATCTAGGAGGGTTGCGTTAGGTAACAATAGTCTAGGGTGTGTATAGGGCATAGGGAGATTGAAGGGTGGGGGTACCCCCCTGTCATATCATGCTGGGTATATAATCTTGGGGGTCTCTGTTGGAGTAGCCTTGGTCAATGCTCTCGTCGTTATTCGTCCCGTACGCGGTCAATCGTCGCGCTATGCACATGCATGTAAAAATATAGCGCGAACAGCGAACTCATGCGGCCACTATTTGTTTAATCAGTTGGGGACGATCGAGAGCCTTGGTTCAATCGTCTGCAAAAGCTTATGTTTTTCTTTACTTTGCGCTAGATTTCCAGTGCACGACCTCGTATGCGAATACAGATAATGTAGGCGGGGCTAATATGTGGAGTGTCGAATCACACCTTGGTAAATCCGGACGTCATCAAATTATTTGCAGCTATTCCGCCTTTTGCGGACGCGACAGGAACCACAGTTTTTGTGCATTGGTGCCGTGTGCAGAGACACACAATGTGTACGTGTATGGATTGTGTACGGTGCCACGTTTCACTATGCAAGTTTCCACGCAACGATTGACCAATAAGAAAACGACATTTAAGGTCAGCTAAGGCTATTAACATAATGAGCACCACCCCCAAAACCTCACATGGACGATTGAACCAAGGCGCTAGATTGGGTCCAACTGATTTGCATAAAAAATAGTGGCCGCGTGAGGTCGCTGTTCACGCTGTTTTTTTAATGCACTGTATGCATAGACATATGACTGCATGCATAGCGCTAGCGAAGATATCGTTTACCGCGCTACGGCCGGGTGAATAACAACTAGCGCCTTGACCAAGGCTACTGTTGGAGTGAAGGTTCGAAGCCTACACAGTTTTATTACCCTAGTTTTTCAGATCAATTTGGAAGCATTTTAAAGCAGTACCAAGTTATGTGAAATGCCATGACTCTTCAGGCGTTATTTGGCAGGCAATTTCGGTATCTTTAAGAGAAGACCAGGGCAAAAGTTTCTTTTAACATTAACTTACAAGAAATGACGTGCTATTCCAAGCCCAATTTGAATTTCTCCGACTTCATTCACAGAAGCAGTTGAACAAATTGTTTTAGCAGTAATTCTTCACTGAAAAAAAAACTTCATGAAGACTGACTCAAACTGAAATAACTGAAATCATGACGAGTATTTCCAGTAGCTTTTTAAAGAAATCTGGTTTTATTTTACTACATCTCACTGCCAGCGTATTATTGGACTATAAACATTTTTGTCTCCGTGGGTCCAGTCATCAGGCTATGCTTCCGGCGTTGCTGGCAATACGGGGCCACAGGTCAGCGCATTCCTTGGCCACTGGTCCGGTGATGGCAGAGCCTGGGCAGGGAGGAAAAGACGACCGCAAAAAAATATCAATTATGAACTGCTCAAACGAATTCAACAAGGGAGAACATTAATTACAGAGGGTGAACTAGACTACAGACAAGTCTCGTTATAGCAAACTCGTTCGGACCTAGCGAAATTGTTTGTTATATCAGAATTTTGTATTAAGAGGAACATCAGTCCCATTCATTGTGCACATAAATGCACAGACGGGACCAAGGCTTTATGTTTGTTGTAACCAGAATTTTGTATTAACAGAGTTTGTACTAACGAGCATGGACTGTACTTGCACAGTGCCCTCTCACTGGTTTTGTTATTTCAATAAGGAAATAACAGTGTGAGGACCAGGCCTTCTCTGCGTGGTAGTGACCGGGTTGGGGGATGGCCACTGTACATGGACCAAGCCGAACAAAATGAAAGCAAAAGTGCTCCAAATTTTGTGATTTTTCTTCGGACATATTTCCAGATTGTTTGTGTTCATGTTCAGGGACCATATTTTAGCTTAAAGCCAGAGTCCATCATTTGCAGCTATCCAAAAAGTAACTGGCTAAATTATTATTGTTGAAAAACATACTTGGTTGAAAGATAGTAAGGGGACTAAACTCCCTGTGAAATTATTCTTTCTGGCAAGCTGTCATTTTGAAGAAATCAACGAAAGAAGGCATTTTCAACGGTGCGTCTTAAGACGCACCGTTGGAAATTTCCGTTAGTGGTTCATTTTGTTATTCGACGAAACGCGTGCAAGCGTTGACACGACGCACACGCACTTGCTATAATTCGACAGATCGGTGCGCGACATTGCGTAGCTGCAATCGGCTCAGTAAGAGCATGTCTGGGACGCTGAATTCAGGCCCAATTCAAAACATGATTCAGCAACTTTTGATTTGAAATCGAGATCCTAGAATGTTGTTTTTCTCGAAATATACAGCTGAAGCTGAGCTGAAACTTCATCAGTTTAGTTGTTCAGCACCCTTCTGTAGATTTTGAGCACTTTTGTTGCTTCAAACGAACAAAATGCCCAAATTACAAATGATGGACTATACCTTTAAATGCATGGTACCCCTTTCTCTTCTCTTCAATATGCATTGTTATTATTACCCATACTTTGAGAGTGGATTGTATAAAATGGTCTGTTGACTTTCCGTACGGTAGGTAAAAAAAAAAAATACGTACACACTGTATAACTTTCTGAAAATAAATTAATGTCACACACAACATGCAGCCAACTTATCAATGTTTTTGTTCATTTCACACGCAACAAAAGATCTAGTAGATAACAATATGAAATCTTTATTCAATAAATAAGTTGTAGCTCTGGAAAATAAATTGAGAAAATGTAAAACCCACCTTTCATTTCTCCTTTGACGTTGACGATGACCCCCGCGTTGTCTTCAAAGTACAACACCACTCCATCGCGTCTCCTGAACGGTTTTCTCTGCCTGATGACCACGGCCGGAATGACTGCAAAAAGAAGTGTAACAAAAATCTCTTGGCTTTTTTTTGGCTAGGAACCTTCCAAAATTTTCAATGTCTTATACTCTGCAGAAAGTGATGATCCATTCTATGTACTACTCCAAATCCTGCAAAATACTTCAAAAAAAAAAAAAACTTGTGCGTTTATGTAAAGAATCTGGGACAATTAGGGTTAAAACACCTGCAGGCTCAAATTTGAATTATACAAGACTAAATACATTGCCATGTGATTCACACTTAGCAGATGTCATTTGATTGACCAATTCAGGCTTAAAATGTGTCAATTTTTTTAAATAACCAGTGTTTCAGAATTTTTTCAAACTGAACTGACAGAGGCCTTGGGTCTTTCATATTAACCCTAACCTTCCCAAATCCTCCAAAATCCTCTTTGCAAATTGAAGCATTTTGCAGGATTGAGGCTATATGGCAAAAACGTGTGGCTGATTTTGGAGGATGCACTGCGTCAAGGTCTTGGGCCGGACCTTGTGTTGTTTATGCTCAGCCGTTTATAAATTTAGGCCTAGATTATACTTGAAATTCTCCGCACTGCTCCAGGATGTCACTGGTTCTGCCTCAACATACTGACAGTGATTACTGGAGGATTTTGCAGGATTGAGGCAGTGGTCACCTCTCCAAGGACCACATTCAAGAAACAATGATTTTGGAATTTTGAGGCAGTTGGAGGATTTTGCAGGATTGAGGTTGCATCCTAGCAAAATTGCCTAGCGAGTTAGCCTAAATGGCTGATGATGGGAATACCAGCTCTGGACGGTACTTCTTTTTCACTTACCCTTCTTGCGGAGTTCTGGCTTTCCCTTCTTGACAGTCGAGACAAACAGGTCACCGCATCCAGCTGCCGGTAGCCTGTTCAGGCGTCCCTTCACTCCCTTGACGGCAATCACAAACAGGTTCTTACCACCTGCATGGCAAAATAAAAAACAGAAAATTTGCTCAAGTTACACTAAGATATTTATGGTTAAAATTCGGAAAAATGTTGCAACCTTTTTTCTTCATAAATCATCTCAATGAAGGTCATTCATTGCAAAAATGATGATAAGACATGAATCTGGGACTGAGAAACATTTCCAATTTTGTTGGGAAATACCCGACTCTCCATAGACTTTGTACACAACCGCTGAAGTGGCGTCAGGTTGCAACATCTTTTCCTAAAATTCTATGCAAATATGGTAGCAAAACTGTTCCACACACCATATATGTGCAGCAATTCCCAATTGATATCCATTAAATCCCCTCCAAAGTCAAAAAAAAGTTTTGTTAGGCCAAAAAAAAAAGTCTCCGGTTTCTGGTATGGAGCTTGCCAAAAAAGTGGTGCGGCGACGCGGCTTTTTTTTTTTTTTACCTGTTTTTTTTGCTTCAAATGTCGGCTGATGACTGCAAATGGTGCCCGACTAAACTTAGTGCAAATATATGGGAGTCCGGAGAGGCCACATAAAGCTTATTCTCGATTATAACCCCATCTAAAAACACGTTAAAATTGTGCAGCAGCAGGATTCCAGTCAAACCAGTGAGTTTGGCGGTTTTGAGACATCATCTTTTATTGAAAAAAAAACTTTTTCATTTTGCCGACGCGCATGGCTCAGCGACGCCTTAGGGTCGTCCAGTTTCGAATAATTCAGTATTCGATTACTTGAAACTGCGTTTGACCAAATTTTCAGATATTCGAAAATGCCACCTGGAACTGTGTATCACGCTGGCCAAAAGTTGCACGCAGAGCGCGCCAGTTAAAATGTGCATGCGGTGATCATATGGTCTGCTGGAGTGTTTTGCACTAAGTATTCTTTAACTCTCAAGGGCTTTAACCTGCTCAAAGGATGGGAACAATGAACCGACTAAAAACTGGCACCTGACAATACAGTGCTTAACTTGAGGATAAAATAACATCACAGTCGTGTGTGTATGCATGTAGTTTTTTTAGTTTT